TTTTGTCTGGTAATCTGAGGTCAAGAAAACAAACTGCTTCCTCTCTGCTCTCTCCAGCACTGTGGCGAGAAATGCAGCCAAGCTCCGGCACTGAGAATAAAGGCAGAGTTGGCACAAACACAGGAGCTTCTTAAATGAGTTTGCCATTAGCCGGAAGGGCTGCAAATTGAAGCGAAGATAAGCCCCTTAGCATTTCCCTTTTTTAATCCAAGCCTCGTAAAAGCAGAGATGTGTTCCTATTCAGTGGGCTTTATACTGAGACAGGTATTTCATTTACCCAAAAAACCCCTGGATCGGATAAATTATTAATGTTATTTATAAAGGCAATTCTGCCATTCAGCAACTTCTTTTCGATCCCTACGCTTAATCTCACTGCTTAGCATAAGATACACTCCAGTTAAAAGGCAAAATCACATTCCCTTACAAGGCCTGCAAAATAACGGAGTGTTGAGGTGCCTGAAAAAAGGGTTGTAGTTTAAATTCCTCTATAAAGGCTAATACATTTATCAGTGGCAAACACAAGTCCTGATTTCTACTTGCTTGTACTCTCCCTGTGTGCTGGATGGGGCCTCACTCACATTGCATCAAGAGCTGTCAAAGCTACTCAGCAAAAACGGTGGAGATGCAGAACAGCCAGTGCTTATACAGCCTCTGTGGGGCTCTTTGGTGGCTGGGTGGAGCTGTGTGGTGAGACAGCAAGTAACCCTGTCCTCTTCTGTAACCTGTCCTGTAACACATCCTATCATGCTGCTCTGGGATACCCACAGCCTTCCTTTGGCTTCTGCAGCCTGCACCCTACACCCACCCCACAGACCAGGGCATCATGGAGAGCAGAGACACCAGAAGAAACACCCAAGTGTCTCACTGAGCACAGGCAGGGGCTCCCACAGTTGGGCAATGGAGTCAGGATGCTTGGAGTCCCAAAACAGGTCCCCAGAGACTCTGGGAGAGCTGCCACCACAGTGGTATTGCAGATCTCAGCCCCAGCAAAACTGGCGTGGCATGTAACCACGAGGAGCAGGGAAATAAACACGAGAAGCTGGCAGTCCCGGTACATGGCCAACATTGCCATTTCAGCTGCAACAGTGGGACACGATCGGTTCCCACGGTGGAGCGCCAGTGATGACAGGTAAAGCAGCACCTCTCCTGTCAGCAGGGTAGAAATGGGTATTTTAGAGTTAAATACCCATACTGAGAAAGAAGAGAGACAGCATTTCCCAAAAAAAAAGATGTCCTCAAGCCTCTAGGAGGAGAACAATGGCTCCTGGTTTCCACATCAAGACTACATGTGGAATATCTCCCCTGCAGCCCCATGTACATCCTGAGAGTTGTCACAGCAGTCATAAGCTGTCTCCCTGATTTGAGGGTAATGCACATGTTGAATGCCAGGGAATGGCAGTACATTGGAATTGCAGGGAGGTTTGGAACATTTCTCACTAAACGTTTTCTCCACAAAATATGTATGCTCCCTGAAACCCTTTTTTCAGCATTTTCCTCTCCAAAGGCTGCACAACAAACTGTTTAATTGAGCAGCCAGCGCTGGCTGATGTTTTGTTTCAGCACAATTTGAACCAAGGCAAAGTATTTTTATTTGCTAAACTTGCTCAACCTTTTCACAGTAGGGTTACGTCAGCAACGTGTCTTTTTCATAGACAGCATCGCCCTTAGGGAAGAAGCACTCAGGACGTTCAGGATCTGTTTTTTCTCCCGGGCTGGGTGCCGGGGATGAGCAGCAGCTCACGGGTGGCAGCATGGTTTGCCTTTGATCAGCCATGAGCAGGGAGGGCTCCTGCAGCTGCGCTTGAAGCTGGAGATGTCTAAGCTACGGGCACTGCAGAGAAGCACACTTTTGTGTCAAAATGACTTATTATAAGATTTTAAGTTTGTTCAGGGAGCTGGAATGAAATATTTAAACACAGCATTATAGTAGCATTTTATTCTCATGAAAATGCTGAAATGCCATTTGCAAATCAGAAATGTTTTAAAATTTGCTTTGAAATAGCTGCGTCTTTATGCAACTGTTATGATTTTTTTCCAGGAAGAAACAAATGGGGGGAAAAAAAGCTGAGCTATTGGCCATTTCCTCACAAATGAGACGTCTGCTTTTCAGTCTGTTCTGGTGAGTCTGTTTGGAGCCATCATTCCCATTTGGAGCAGGGAGAATCAGCCTCGAGAGCAGCCTACGTTGTTGCATCCAGCATTCAAATTACATTATCTTTGTTTTTTACACTGATGACGAGACATTTAGGTTGGAGAACTCCACTGGGCATTGTTGCTGCTCTGAAGGGTTTGCATGATTTGAAATAAATGTCATAAAAGAAACAGCAAGTTCTTGTATAAAAGTTTTTTTTTTTTTTTTTTTATTGGGGCAGTTTTCACTTTCTTTAGGTACAGTTTTTTTCAGTTCTTATTTGCCTATGTATACATTATATCTTGTTAAATGCAAGAAGCCAGCTTGCTTCAGTCCCTCTTCAAGACTTGAACAGCTTCTTATCTGACTCCTTACTGCTCCCAAGCAGCACACAGCTCCAGGCAGGTAGCCCAGAGCCACCCAAGCTTTTTGGTACCTGGGTCTGGGTGGCATCTGAGCCATACTGAAGTGAATTAAACTATTTTCCATGGGAAAAGCAGTTCTTTAGTCAGTTCTGGCCAAATCAGGCATTTGACATTCAAACTGGTAGTAAGAAAGAGTTATTCTATAATAGTGACCAAAACACACTTGAATTCAGTATCTTAGTAGGATCAAAAAGCCCCAAATCCCTTAAGATGATGCCTGACTTTGAAAAAAGACCTTCTGATTTGTGTACAGTTTGTTCATAGGGGTTTTTAATACAAAATTCAAAGAACTGTAAGGATAAAATGTTGGCAAGCAGCATAAAAACCTACTTAAAAATAACATATGAAAGTGACAAAAGAAATGTATGTCATTTATCCAAAATACTAAGGATCCAAAATAGCTGATATGGTTGAAAAGAGTAGAGTAGGCATAAGAAAATTCCTTCTGAATTGAAGGCAGGTCTAAATGGAGAGTGTAGACAGAAGCATATCTTGGCCAGTTAAATGCACAATGATAACGCCAGGCTAGCACAGGATTTTAAGGTACAAAAGGCAGCTTTCTCAGCAGCTGGCAGGAGTAGGACAGACCTGGGAATTGTCTAGTCCCCAGCTCTAGAGGAAGCTATGGTGGTCCTACGGGTTTCCTTCAGATCAAGCTGGCTTGTACGTAACCCCTATTTAGAAATCCAGCAGATCTCCAGCCTGCAAACATTGCTCTTCTAAATCCTGAGATTTGACCCAGATGAGCCATTGTCTCTCTCAAGTTGTAGATGCATTGTAAAATAAGATAAAATCAGCCTCTTCTAGCAATGCAATAATCGGGAGCTCACGCTGTCTCCAGCTGATCCTGATTTCTCCATGAGTTCACCAGATCACTGATGTTTCTTGCTGATGAAGCTTGTGCAGCCATTTCCAGCACCCAAGCCTGCACCAGCCTCTCTTGCTGCTTCTCTGAGCCCACCTGTCCACACATAAAACCCAGGCAAGTCAGTCTGGATGCCATTTCCCATGCCCTAAAAGCATATCCTAATCAATGACGTTCCCACCACACGGATGGAACAGCACTTAAAATGTAGCAATGCCTGGAAACCTACGCACAACTGACGGCCTGTCAGCCACTGCTTTTGGTCGTGTGTCTTCCTCACTCATCAGCTCCTTGCTGCCACAAACAGGGAGGCAAAACTCCTGTGATCACCGTGCAGGTGATTAGAGAAAATTGCATTGCTGAAGTACTCTCTGGCTGCAGCCATGCGCCAGCTCTTGCCTTGCCTGCTGGTAAACTGCCAGAGAGAGGGAAGTGTAGGCATAAAATGAATAGCAGAAGAGATTGCAGGTAATTATGTTTCTTAAGCTGTTAACAGGATTGGCCATTTGATAAATGAGAGGATTTGGGAATGTTTTGTCACTGACAGCCATTGTAAGATCCGAGTGGAAACGGGAGCGTTTCTCTTCCATAGCACGGACAAGAAGGAAATTCTCCTGGAATGCTTATGCACCGTGAAATTCATCTGAAACCTGGATGCCAGTGCACGGAAGCGAAAGGACAAATATAGGACTCAAAAAAAAAAAAAAAAAAAAGAGCCAGGTCTCTTACATATGAAACTAATTTGGTTTTGGTGCCCCTCTGATGTTCCCAGAAGCTTCTGTCCTTTTATGGTGCTCCCCCATCCCTGTGAACATTTTTTGGTGCCACAAGGGCCCCTGAAATCCCTCCATTTGCTTTTCAGTGCTCTGAATCCCTCTGTCTCCCCTACAGTTCTCTCAGCCTCTTGGCTTGCTTTTGTGATTCCCTAGCTAGCTGGAGAGGTGAGAGGAAAACCAGCACGGCTCTGTTGTCCTTCTGTTCCAACAGTGCCCCTTGGGGTGGTTTTGGGCACCCCTGAGCCCCTCTGTTTCTTTTCCCTCAAGGGCCTCAGTGTGCCTTCTGGAGTGCTCCAGAGCCTTCAATCTGCTTTTAGGTGCCCTCCATCCCTGGAAATCCATGTGCTTTGGTGCCCTCAGGAGCCCTCTATGTGCTCTGTAGGTCCTCAGGACTATCAGACTATCAGTGAAGGAAGGGCAGGACCCACGGTCTAGCAGCCATCTGCATGGTGACAGGATGTGGGGACACATCTTTTTAAGCCATTTACCAATGAGCTGGCCTGAAGCAGAAGGGCAGGATGAGAGCTGGACCTGCTCCAGGGGAGGGGAACCAGGACTCACCCCAGGAACAGCACCCAGGAGGCTGCTGTGGTGTGAAGGGTTTTGCTCTGCAGTGAGGGAAGGTGGCGTCAAATTGAATCACTCAGTTAAAAGTCATGTTAGAAATCATCTCAGATGTCAGTGCTGTGTGGCCACTGGCTCCAGGTATCTCCTGTGGATATGGTCCTTTCAGACATGACCCCCTGGAGCCTACGTCCTGCCTGGTACAGATCCTGTCTTCACTGCAGAGCCCAGCACTGGAGGTCAGAGAAAATGTTAAGCAAAGAACAAATAAAACTCCCTTGTGCTGTTTTCTGGGACTGCCTTCCCTAGCCAGGGCAGGTTCCTTGCAGGATCAGAGCCCAAGGCAGCCCATTTGTGTGCGTGAGCAAAGGAAGAGGGGAAGGCTCTCCCAAACCTCCATCACAGCTTTTCACTTCTTTGCTTTACCTGTTTTTTAGCAGCCAAATACAGGTTAGCTGTAGTGTTTTGGTTTTCCTGCAGCTAGTGGCATGGAAAGGTTGCTGGGTGGAGCTGGTGCCTCTCAAATCTCATTTTCCCAGAAAAGCCTGGGTAATGGGCAGGGGAGACACACTCCTTGCTTCAGTCTGAGAACGCTTTGGCCAAGGGCTGGGTGCCCAAGGAAAAGAGGCAGGATGGGGGCAATGAAGCCATTTTGTTTTCTTTGTAGCACATCCTGCACTGGGAAAATGAGAGCAGAAATTCATCCAGGCAGCCTGGACATGCACACAGCCCCACCTTCTCCCCAGAGACAGGATGAGCCCCTCCAGTGTCCCTGTCTGAGGAAGAAGCTTCTGTGATCCTGCCTGGTACTTCCAGCAGGCACTGGCTGCCTGTCCCTGAGGAAGTAGGTAAAGCAGCAGCTGCCTCTTTGGGAGGTTTAGGTAGTAGGAGACACAACTAAGTTCCTACACTTCTATATTTGAGCTCTTCTCAAGAGCAAAGTGGTGATTCAGCCTGAAGAGATGTATTGGTTAGGAAGAGACACATTTTGACCTCAGCTGCATTAGTTGGTAGCAGCATCCTGGAAGGACAAAGCCTTGGTGGTTCTGCCCTGGTATTAGCTCCCCAAGCAGAGCAATGTCCTGCCTATGAGTCATGCTGCAATTAGCCAGTTTCTGTACCAGATGCAAACAACTCCAAAAATACAACAGTCGCTGCAGAGCCTGGGTTGTGTGGAGACAGAAAACCTGAGCGGCATTTTTATCCTCACACAACTCATTTGGGCTGCAGAGTAAGGTCTCACAGCCACTGTCACCCCCTGCCTCAGCCACTCTGGAAGGGACTTGCCCCATTCTGGCAATTTCTCTGCTGGGGCCTGGCCCCCACCCACCTCTGCAGTTACACCTCATCTCATTACCCTGTAAAGCAAATCTTTTTAGAGGCTTCTCTGAAAGGCTTTCTTACAAATGAAGAGACTTCTCTTAAAGAGTAACAAGATGAAACTTATGTGCAGAGGTGGGCTAGGCTCAACCGGAGCAGCCAATGCTGCCAGGCTTTGCTCCCCAGCTGGTATGAATAGTGTTGGCACAAAAAAGCCACTCAGGTTTTCTGCCCTCACTCCGCTCAGTCTCTGCAGTGAACACTGTTCAACTTCCAATTAAGTTGGGGTACTCTTTGTCTTTTCAGGTGTCCTACTATCCTTCCCCTGAATAAACACTTTCTACCCTCCATTTAATGGCAAAATTTATGAAGCACATTGGAACAAGGACTTCAAACAGCTGGAGCTGTGTTTGCTGGGCCCTTGCTGAAATAGAGTAAAGAGCAAGCTAGGCTGAAGGGAGCATCTGTGAAAGCAGATGAAAAGCCCCTTCTGGCACTTACGCACTGCAAGGAAATGAGCTGCCTCAGCAAGACAGCTGTTGGCTGCCCCTTTTAGCTCCACCAGCAAAGCAACAAGTTCTTTCTGATGTAGAAGCTGTGGGACAAGCTGAGGATGAGGAGCAGGGCAAGGTCTGCTCCAGAGATCTGTTACCAGGCATTAAGTAAACAATGCATTGAATAAACTGAAAGTCACCTTGTCTCAGTTGTGGCTTGCTCTACTTTTTATTTCCAAGAGCAAAACCAACCCAGCATGTTGCTATAATGTTTGATTCCTGCTCAGCACTTCCTGCGGCATGGCTTCCCAGTGAGGGCTGTGGAGACCTGGCAAACACAGGCCCTTTCCTCCCATAGCAGCTCCTTAAGGGGTAACTGAAGGCAAAATCCACTTCCTGCTCCTTCAAACAGGGTCGCTGGAAAACAAGGTCACTTACTCTTTGCAGCTCAAGCTGAAGTCTAAAATGGTGGCCCCAAGCAGCTGGTGGAGGGCAGGCAAGAGGTGAAATAGCAATTATTCTTAGCAATGAGCACCTAGGAAAATAAAACAGAGAAATAGCAGGAATAGAAACTCCAGACAGTTTACAAATAGGACTCAAGCCCCTGTTTTCACCCAAGCAGAAGCAGGTGTGCAAATGTACACACTGGATTTGTGCCCCCTTGCTCCAGCAGCCCAGCCAAGGCCCAGGGCTTCACTTCACACACAGCAGGAGCTAGAGCTTCAGCCACAGCTGGGCAAGGCAAAATCTCTGCCAAAGCTCATCCGAGAGCACAGGGCAGCCACAGGAACACAATTGCCACCTTGAGTGGGTTGTAGTTCAAGCACAGAGATGCCTGTTCTTGCCAGCACATTTAGGAAAGGAAGATGGTTTGCCAACCTGCTCCTGGGGTAGATGGATGAGAAAGACTTCCCAAAAGGCTGACCCACAGTGGCAGTCTTTGCCATTTATAAAACCCTTGCCAGACATGAGAACTAGAATGATCAGAAAAAGCTTTTATCTACCACTAAGAGCATCTGACAAGGGAAGGCCAAGCCAGCTGCTACCTTTAGTTACAGCCAGCTGACATACAACCCCAGCCCCACGAAGATGATCACAGTCCAGAAGCCAAACCTGCTCCAAACAGGCTTAGCTCAGCAGCTGATCCCCTGGAGGGCAGCCCCCCTGCAGCCCTCGCACCCCTGAGAGGGAGGCACCAGGCCTTCTGGGTGCTCCTCTCAAACACTGACTGGGAAACAAACTCTTCAGATTTAACTGTGCTCCTGATTGTTTGACCCACACCAGCCTTTCCCATGGGTAGAGTCCATACTCCTGCCTCTGCAGTGCAACATCTGCTTTCATGGCAGAGCCCTGAAAACAGCCCCCCACTGCCACCACCTCAGTCATGGAGGGCCCTGCAAAAGCACCTGGGATCACTGTGCCTCTGGCTAGCAGCAAGGGATCCTCTCCAGGGCCCCCTGCCTGGACCTTGTGGGCACAGCCAACCCGCCAGGAATGGGGTACACAGGCCCTCAAAACCTCCTTGGTGTTTACCTTTGGCCACTCACCACTTCAGGGCACTTACCGACACCGCCCGTGCCCACATACTCCCTTGCTCCCTATATTGTCAGGGCACTCCCGTGCTTCTCTCCAGGGACTTCTGACACTTCATTGCGGCAAAACAGCAATGCCTCTGCTGAAAGAAAAGCTCCTTGGGAGTAAATGAGGGTACAATCAGACCAACACGGGTCTGGTCCAACACCTGAGGTCCCAGGTCAGTCTCCTGCCCTGAAAACTCCAACCTAACAAATGCTGTTTGGGAACTGGCTCACTGCTGACGAAAAACCCAAAATCCCAGCAGCTTCCCAAAATGCCCTGACAGCGAATAGCATGCACCATGCCCCACCTGATGGCACATCGCTTGTGTCTTGTGCAGAGCTTCACACCCACCATGCACCCTGCCCCACAGACCCACAGGGGATATATGTGCAGGGACCACAAATCATCCCCACACCAGGGCAGGAACAAGCATGCACTTTATCTCTCCTCTTCCTCCAGAAGCCACACACGGGGGGGATTTTTGGGCAGGGACCAACAGCAGCAGCATATCTCAGTCTTTGCACAGGGATACCCCCTGCTATCAGGGCCCTCGTGACCACAGGCACCCCACTTCCAGCCAGTCTCTGTGTGGTCCCTGCACACCAGGTGCTGCAGAGCTCAGGCCCAGCAACCAGAAGCTCTCCTCCTCCAGTGCAACGCTGCCCTTGGTGGCTCCATTCCCATTTTGGGAACCAGACCAACAGCCCTTTTTTGGAGAACAGGCTAACGCTCCTGGTACAAGTGCTCCCAGGCTCATCCACCCTCCTCTTTGCCACATATCCCTGCAACCCAAAAATGCCCACAGACCCTAACAGAGGACCAAGTGATCACACACACAGAGGAATGAAACTCCCCATCTCCTGAGTCAAGCTGGGAAGAGTAACATACCAGCAATCTCTTTGCAGCCCCCCTGAAACCCTGGCACTACAGCCCCCACGCTCTTCACCAGCACATTTGAAACATTCTGCAGAGACCAGGCACCTCTACAGCACCTGAAGACAAACCCTAGACAAAAAGGTGAGGGGGCCAAAGAGCCTGAGTCAGGGAGTGTGCTTCACACCACAGCACAGGATGCAAAAAGCCCTTGCAGCTGTCCTCCAAACCGGCAGCCCTGGGCAAGTGCCTGTGGCAAGCCAGTCCCTGGGAACAGAGAAGCTGCTCCAGCTCCAAGGAAAGATACTTAAAATTATTGAAGTTTCCAGAAACAGAAAGAAAAGGGCCAGCATGGCCACCTGATGTTGTACCTGCTCCAGAGGGGCAGTGGCACTTGGGGCAGGGCATCGACTGATGTGAGAAAAGAGGCCAGACAGCAAGGCCTTAGAGGCGAGACCATGCAATGTTACCAGTTCATTTTTTACAGAGAAGGAAAAGGCAATACAATAAAACTTGCTTCTAACAATACATACAAAGAAATACAAGGACTTAAAAGGGTGCAGGACAGACTTACAGATATCTGTGATATTCATTAGTCTGTGCTCTTCCCCTTCAGTAGATTGTTCCCCAAAAAGAAGAAAAACACCCTCACCTACAGCTCTTCCACCAGCTCCAGGGGCACAGCAGCACTCAGCCAGCCTGGCTCCTTCTCCAGCAACCCTGGCACAATCACAGCCACAAACTCAGCTCGAGAATGTGGCTGTTTCCTCCAACCCTCAGCTGCCATCCTTTGCTTCCCCTCAACCATGGCACCACTGGCTCCATCCTGCTAGAGAAATAGCACGTTCACTTTCTACTCTTTTTCGGTAGAACAGATGTAGAATTTAAAAAAAAAAAAAAAGATCAAATTTTAAACCCCTCTTTCCACCACCTCCCCCCAACATCTACCAGCACCTCAGCCAATCTAGTTGGTGCTGGCAACCTCCAGTCTCTTTTAATTATCCTTCTGGTTCTGTTTAAATATATGAGTTCCCTCACTTGGGAAGTGGTTAGTTCAAGATTTGTGGGGTGAGAGTCTTTCTGTAGAAAGACCTGTAAGTAACCTTACCAATCTATTTGTAATTTTTAAGCTGCTGAGCAGGTTAACCTCCATGTAGCTATCAGAATCAGGCACAAAGATTAAGCAAGGACTGTGTTTCTGAATGCCCACAAAGAGAAAAAGGAGTAATTTAAAGTATTTCTTAAATTTCAAGTGACTTTTGGTGCCCCTGAAGCCTTCCATGTGGCTTTTAGTACTAACCAGAGCCCTCTGTTTGGCTTTCAGTGCCCCCCTCTGTGTGTGCTATGGTTTTCAAAACTTGTGTATGAATTTTTTTTAACTTTTATGTCCCATGGAAAATGCTGTATTCATGCATGGGGAGGCTCTGTAGGTACCCAGACCAATGTGTGAGTGTTTCAGCTCCTGTGACCACATCACAACAGCATCACATAGAGATGCTTACGGGCACAGCACAAATCAGACTAGTCAAAATGTACAACTCTTCCCTCTGCGCTTCCTATTCTGGGTTTTGCATATTCTCACTCCTCTGCCAGAATAACGTGTGCTCATCTGCAAAAAGTGTCTTAAGGCTCCATTACTTGCTAAAAACCACAACCCCTGTATGAGAGATGAACCAGAAAGCAATAAGGAGGTTTTACGTGCATAGAAAAAAGTAGTCCCAGCAAACAGTGCTGGAAGCAGCAGCAAAGCCTCCCTGCTGGAAAAAGGCACAGCAAAGGCAGCGTGCCTAGTACACCATCTCTCTTCCAACCACTAGCCCCAGTGTTCAGCCAAGACTGGAAAGGACAGGATGGTCCATGTCTTCAGTACCCCAGCACTTGACAGAATAACTGCACCTTCTAGTTAATCTAGTGGAAAGAGTTTTGAAGCAACTTGGAGGAAGCAACATGAATATGCAGGAAATATAGTTGAAACCTGCTGTCTATTGAAATGGCTCATTAATACTGCACAGACAAAGCAAATGACTGATGCTTACTGCAGAGTTACCAGTGAACATATCTGTGCTTGGATTATCGAAGCAGTGCAGAATATTTTCACCCCATATGGTTTGCCTGAAGAGGCTGTTTCAGATAATGGTTCTCATGTTGTTTCCATAGAATTTCAATATTCCCCAGAAGACACTCGCTGGAGCACTCCAAAGCAACCTTGTGTCATTTGGTGCCACGTGAACTAGCAGAATGCTGGGTACTTATAATTACAGAAAAATAATAATGAAGTTCAAATTTGAAAAAAAGGGAGCATGAAATGTTTTAACTGGAATCAGGTTAGTAAACCTAACTTTCAACATTTTTTTTGTGGAAAGCATCACTCACAAAATAATTTTATGTACATGGATAAAATTAATCAAAATCACGGAAAGAAAAGTAGTGCAAGATTAAATAGCCACAAAATATGCCTAGGCACCAGAGATCTCTTGGCAGAAAAGATGGAAAGAAAGAACTGGGACTCATGCACCATCTGCTAATAACGAAGAGATACAGTGGTGCGAGTACAAGAGAAAGGTTCACTAAGGAAAAGCCCTTCAGATAGAAAATGCTGTAACTGTAGTTATGAGAAAAGAAAAACACTGGGCTTTAAGGTACAAAGAAACAAAAACCATCCCACTCGGACAAATCAAAGGGCTATGAACTCTCTCTGCTCACATCTTCTGACCTGTAGTGGGTGCTATGGAAAAATCTTACAGCATAGGATAAATATATATCCTTTTTCTGGATAATTTTCTGAATTGTCAGTTCATCGTCTACAGTCACCAAAATTCATAGTCCAAAGCAAACACAAGTAAAGAGACAGAGAGGATACAGCACTATGGCAGGGCTTTGTTACTTCCTGTAGGATTAGCTACATGCGTGTAGCTCTACATGGATGTATTCTGCATATTTCCCTGCCCATACATTCCATCCAGGGACGGCACAGTGAGGTGAGGAGGCTGGTGTGAACAAGTGAGAACAGCTCTGACGGAGGAATGAGGATCTCTGACATATGGTGATGAAGCACAAGGTATACAAGAGTCTAGAGAACATTAACAGCTTTTGAAAGAGAGGGCAGATTTGCCACCTGAATTTCAGTGATCATGCCATAATCTACAAGCCCTCTTTTACTACTTGCCCTACCTCCAGCCCTGCTGATGTTGATGCCTCTATAGATGGAGGGAGCCCTGCCTGGACAGAGGTCTTCCCCAGATACTGCTGCTAAAGATGACCTCATTCTGGTATCTTCATCCTCTTCTGTGACCTGATATCTACAAATAATGAGGTTACTGGTAAGAGTATGACGCTGTCATCCTTTATAAAGACCTTAAGTAGACTGAGTCTGAACGCACATGCTGTGCTGGTGGTTTCATGTATCTATTTGATGCCAGACCTGCACAGGAGGAACTGTGTGGTGCTGGGATCCCTTCCACATTCTGAACAGGCAACACACTTGAACGGAATGAGCACTGATCTTTCCACCTCTACCCTGTAGATGTTCCCTGGCCCACCTGTATGTGTCCAGATATTCTTGCATCTCTTCCTACCTTGTATCTGTTTACCTCCTAAGTCCTCCCGCTCACCTTGCTTCTGAGGTCTGCTGGCACGCACCGGCTCCTCTGCTGTGCACTGCAGGTAAAATCTTGCTTGTGCCTGAAGACAGGAGTGGTGCTTGTTGCTGGACAAGGTCTCTGTGGAATACATAGCTGAGCGCTAGCAAGTCTCAGCTGAACATACATAGACTGACATGGCGAGAGACTCAGGTCATGTCAGATTCCAAAGGAAAAGAAAAAAGGCACAACTTTCACCAGGGTTATTTCTTTCTGAAATTTCAAGCCCTTAATTTAAATATTAAGATGCTATATTAAATATATATATTTATATATTTTATATATTTATATAAATATTTAGAAAATACAAATATATATATTTTTTATATTATATAAATAATATAAAGTCCACTTGGCAAAAGTGGACTATATAGCATTTCTATTGGGTTTCTTTATATATATATATAATTTCAATATTAAGCATATATTACAAAGGTTATTTAAAACATTGGAAAAATGGTATATTTTTCTTAATATGTTTGCCGTTTTAGCTGACACTAAAAAAATGTGAAAAACGTCAGACCGAGTCAGATCTCAAGACAAAATCTTAAACCAATTGACTCACATGGTTAAAGTTTAGTAGTGATATCAACAAAGAAAAACAAAGACAGAAATGTCAAACACTAGCACTGCATATAACTAGTTGTAAATCAATAGCCAGGAAAACTCCTGACCTAGATGAACAGAAGCACGAAACAAAGAAACCTCAGAATAAAATCCATGGCTGACAGAGCTTAGCACAAGAAAGTTGTGTTTGCAAAAGAAATCCTAGCAACAGTACAGGGTCACTGCTTGGTGCAGACAGGAGAATTGTGAAGGATTATGCAGAAAATGCAGAAGTGTTCAGACTGTTGGTATTTGGAAAGAAGGATGATTTGCTTTCATTGCTTGAAGATGATGAAATACTTTCCAGACTATTAGTAACCGAGAGAGATGTTAGAATCTATCAGCAATGAACATTTTTAAATCAGCAGGCTCAGAAGCTCCAGCATCGTCGGCAGAGAAGCTCTCGGGTCCACTAACACTGAATGTTAATAGCAGCAGATCTGCAAATGCCCAATTTATAAAAATCTATTAAATGAGAAGGAAAGCAAAGGGAATCAATGAACCATCAGAGAAAAGAGCAACTGTGGGTCAAAGTAAGGGAGGGGTTTTTTCCATCCTATCTATTGGTCGGATGGTCAAGGGTTCTCCTAACAAACTGGAGCCACCATCTTTCCCAGGCTCATTTAATCTGATGGCTCTGATGTACACACTTGTCACTTGGCAGTCACTCAGACCAAAGTTTTCTTCTTGGTAAGAAATCTTTGACTTCTCTGTTAGCTTGAAACCTTCTGCTGGAGTTAAGAGAGTTTAAGTGAAAAAGGGTAAAGAGATATGGGCTCAAGCCCGGCTCCCTGTTACTGCCCACATGCAAGGTCAGATAGCTTTCCAACCAGAATGTAGGTTTTTGTGAAGCTTTTCCTTAGGTGTGTGCTTCTCCCAATGACTGTGCATGGCAAGTGGCTGGCTTGTGGCCATGTAATGTTCCAAGCAGGCACACAGAAGCTCAGGGAGTAGCATTCAGGAGCACAGCGCTGCAATGTGGCTGTCTGAGCCAAAGCCCAACCTCTCCCACACCACACAGGCATCCATGCCCTTGCTGGCTTTGAGGGCCAGCAAGAGCCCTACTTTAAACAAGCTTGACTCCCTCTTCTTTGTAACAAGTTGCAATTAGAAGTGAATTAAATTAGTGTATACTTTGTACTACTACATAAGCAAATTCAAACAACTGAATGGTGCTAGAAAGCGTTATCAGCTATTGGAAGCCATTCAGGATAGTACTAAAATACTTTATACATGTCCAGCTGTGCACAAAACTCTGTTTTTGGAACTTACTGATATTTTCAACCCCCCAAAAAACTGTTGCACTAAAACTAGTGCATAGTGGAAGTTGTAATACACTCTGTGTGATCTCCCATTTAATGTAATGAGGCTTCACTGAAAAAAGAAGAGCAAAATAAAGATTAATCAAAATCCTATGTGAATTTATTTATGGATCACAAAAAATGTTTCTAGAATATCCAAGACATGGTCGAGGGATAAAGTTAGATGAAGTTAGGATTTATCTCGATTACCTAACCTGGCATTAAAATCCTTTTCACTGATCAGCAAACAGAGGGATAAAAAGATTTCAGAGACATTATGTAGGTCTGGAATAATTCCCAGTACGAGTTCCTA